GTGAGGCAAATTCCATGCTTGTGTAGCTTGAGCTGACGCAAAAAAAAATGAGCCTTGCAATATGGTAAAAGCTAGGAAATAGCCATGTATTTTCATTGAGTTCTCATTGCATTTGGATGTCATCTGCATTGGTTTGGCGGGTTGTAGGACAGCGTTAAAACAATCTGAAAACCTAGTCTCAACGCGATCATCGATGAACTGCTGGTAACGAAGATAGTCGTGGAGGAGAAGGTACCTGTTGGGGCTTGGCGACTGAGAATCAAGAATTCCGCTCTGCCGTACTCTTGGTGTTCGTGCGGGACGAGAACGCGGATGCATCGGCAGACAGGCACAGTGCCTGATGGGTGCTAAGACCTGTCTCCTATCTTCCAAGGCCCTCCGCTGATCTTGGATGACGGCGCAGAGGCGTGGCGTCCGTCATGGTGCAGATAGGAGACACGTGTGGCGGTGCAGTGGCTTGCTGGTTCGTCAACTGCGACGCGCATTCTGGCTGCTCAGGTAGGGTGTTGCAGGCAACTGATTGCATGCATCATACTTGATGTGTGTACACGCGTCTCCTGCTTGGTAGATGCAAGATGTTACAGAGAGATCGGAACTAAGTCATTCGAGGCGGTGATGTGTATGTGGTTAGATGCGCTGGTTCATTAGAAACGAAGAAGGCCCGGTCTCGACGTACCACCGAGAGTACTGACATGCACGAAGAACCCAGCTTTCCTGGTTCGGATTCAATCAAGTAAAAGCTACGTCGAAGAACGTAGACGTATGCAGTTCCCGTTTCGTTCCAGATGCACCTCGTGAGTTCGATGCAGCAACGTCTCATGCAAGATCTGCCGAACTTAGAATTGGTATGCTAAGACATGATACAAGCCATGCAGGCGTTCGCAGTTCGCGCGATGGCTGTCATGCCCCTGAAGTACGGAGATCGAAATCCGGCTATGTTTGGAAAGAAGAAATGTATGAGCCGCTAATAGAACGTAAAATACCGCAAGGCTGCTCTGGTCAGCCTCCTGGGACCGGTGCGACTTACTATGAGCGAACTACGCACGCGGTAGGTGTGATTGCTCCGCAAGGCCATACCTCCTGCCTCGTAAGCGTGCATAGCCTCAATGTGATAATCGCTCAATTCTTGGCCTACTTGCTGGGCACTTGGCGAAGAGCCAAGAGTGGAAACGTGGATGCGTGGACATCCCGCCCAAAGCTGGCGACCGTTTGAGACATGGAAACCCGGAGCCATTCAGGGGACCTTTTCGAGGGCCTCAACGTGTTGGAAGTGTACTATATGCTCAGGGAATGTCAAGGGGAGGTGGTTGCGACAGAGTTCATCTACATACGGCCGGCGCGACTCCAAGGTTGACAGGCTGGTATATTGACATTTGCGCCGAAGATCGAGATCATGTTGAATGACTCTACAGGCGTGTACATGATCTGGTGTGCCGTAAACATCTCGTTGAGATGAGGGGCATTTGGCAAGCATCGATGGCCCACTGCATAGAATGCGAGTGCGACAGGCCATTCGCCCGAGCCGGGAAGTCAGCAAGGCATCCGATGGGCAGTCGGGCGGCTCTGTAATCCAAGTAATTCAAGGTATGTGGTATAGCCAGCCAACCAGCCACAGCTGTCGCCACCAGTGATGATGGGATGGCGTGACAGGAGCATGGGATCGCAGCGAAAACTGGAGTAGATTGGATGCCAATACTTCCCGCTGCTGCTCATAAGCCAAGGGCACCAAGAATTCCGCATTTTGATTGCTGTTTCGGTTGTGTCGCTTCTGTGTGAGGGGTCGAGCGTGCGGCAGGGCACCCACCGGCGCGCACAACAACGCCCATGGCTCTGCGTGTGCGTGGTGTCTCTGGATGCGCCAACCAGATACCCCGCGAAAACAGGGAGCGCGTACGTGAATCTGGGTCGCATGTGGTCATTTGCGAGTGACGGATGTCGGCGAAGCCATCGCGTCCGGCCAAGATGAGGGCCAAGGCGCCAGTGAGCACGAGAGTGGGGCGGCTGAGCAGGCAAGGCCGAATCACAGGACGTCTGCGCCCACCCTACACGGACCATGCCTGCCCTGGCCTAGCCCGGCAGTGCCTCGCTCATGGGCCGCGCCAGTTTCTCTTTCTCTGGGCGAATCTTCGCCCGCTCCGTTCCGCTGGTAAAAGCTGCCAACTGCCCCCGAGAACCTCTGGGCGCCCTCTCCTCTGACTTTGCTCCACGACCCCAGACTGCCCCTTCCTTACCGTAGCTTAACTTTGCGATAACTGTCATCGCTCTGCGCGGTTTTGACTCTCTCACCCACATTTTACCCTCACCATTGTTGGTAACTGCCAGCACCTTCGCCAAGACGATGAGCGAGGTTCAGAATACAGTGCCCGCAGCGGCCACGACTCCTCAACAGCAGCCCCAGGGCACCCCCATCCAGCAGAATGCTCCAACTCCCGCCTCAGTCTCTGCAGGCTCGGGCGACCAGCTCACCTGCCAGTGGCAGAACTGCGGCGACCGTCTTCCCTCTGCTGAGCAGCTCTATGTAAGTTCTTCGCCAAGTGTGCTTAGCGACGGCTGCATACCGCGCCGCGACGCGTAGAACACTGCCATTACTCGTCTTTGCAGCTCGCTGACTTGCGTGCAGGACCACGTCTGTGAGCGCCATGTTGGTCGCAAGAGCACCAACAACCTGAATTTGACCTGCCAGTGGGGTAACTGCCGCACCACCACGGTCAAGCGCGACCACATCACTTCCCACATTCGCGTGCACGTGCCGTTGAAGCCGCATAAGTGCGATTTCTGCGGTAAGGCGTTCAAGCGTCCTCAAGATCTGAAGAAGCACGTAAAGACGCACGCCGACGATTCCGTGCTACTCCGCTCCCCAGAGCCCAACCGAGGCGGTCCCCACGGCGCCCAAGGCTACCCGGGCCAAAACGGCAAGCGTAAGTACTCCTCACATGACTTGATCGATCTCAACTTCGATCCATGTCCACTACCCAACCTCGATCATTATCTAACAGAACTTGCAGTTGTTGCTGACTTGCAGGCGCTTGCTGCCACAGCGAGTGGATACCAATATCCTGATGGTGCCCTTGGCCCCAACGGAGGTTACGGCCAGCAACACCCAGGTGGTGCCCCAGCCGGATTCTACGGAGGCCCACCCCAGAACTCCGCCTATGGTCCTGTCTACTATGCTGTGAACCAATCGCAACAGCTCAACAACGACTACGAAATCAGGAAGCGCGCCGCGTATGATGCGCTCAACGAGTTCTTCGGAGACGCCAAGCGTCGCGCCATTGACCCAACCACCTACTATGATGTCGGCCAACGGCTCATGGGTCTCCAAGGTGTTCAGCTCCCCGTCCTTGGTGGCGGTGGAGGCGGCTACCAGGGCCAGGGCATGTCTGAGTATGGCCACGGCGGCTCAATGGTTGCTCAAGCACAGCACCCACCCATGCACCACCCCTACTCTCTGCCGCTTCCCAACCTCAGGACCAAGAGCGATCTCTTGAACATTGACCAGTTCTTGGAGCAACTGCAAAGCACCGTCTATGAGAACCCCAACCACGCTGCGGCTGCTGGTGTGGCCCACCCTGGACACTACGTTCCTACCGGCGTTGGCTACCGCTCCAGCAACTCGCCACCTGGCCTTTCGTCTAGCCACTCCCAGTCGTCTCACGCCACTGCCATCGGATCCACCAGCGCCGAGACCCCTGCTTTGACACCAGCATCCAGCGTGCTATCATACGGATCTCAGCACTCTCCCGGTGCGCAGCACTCTAACAACGGTGTTTCTCCCACATCAAGGAGTTCGATTGGTAGTATGTACCCTACTCTACCATCTGTCAGCGCGATGTCAGACATGTCAGCTGCTGCACCATCTTCTGGACTTGCACCAGCGTTTGATTCTGATGGCCGTCGCCGCTTCTCTGGTAACCTCCTCCAGAAAGCCGCTCCGGACCGATCAGAGCACGACTCCATGGATATGTCAAGCGACGGTGCGTCGCCCAAGGATCGCCGGGATTCTGAGCAAAACAGTCTTCACCATGACGTTAACCAGTTGGCTATCCACTCGCCCAAGGTTGACCCTGCTCTTCGCTCACCAAGCATTGCGTCGTCAAACAACACAGAACAAGGCGACCAGTCTCAACAATCCTGGGTTGAGAACATCCGAGTCATTGAGAGGCTCAGGGCGTACCTCAAAGACAGACTCGAGTCGCATGACTTCTCTGACGATGAGGAAGACGTCAAGCACGATCTCGAGCGCCGCATGAGCGACGACGATGCACACAACCTCTACCCCGTACTGCGCGCTGTACAAGAGGGTCGAGAGTAGTGTTTCTCTTCTTGGGCGGGTTCAAGATGCTTTATGGAGTTCAGAAGGGAATGATGGCGTCAAGGAGTTAACCAGGCTTGGTGGCATCATCAGGGACGATGGCCAATAACTGTTTCGATCGGTATAGCGATGCCTTGTTATGTTCTTTCACGGCTGCCTTTAGGGAATAGGCCCTCCGGTAGCATGTTCAGCTTTCCACTTGTTAGTAGCAGTGTGCGAATATCACGATTATTCAAAGTTTCAACTCGAGGATTACATGACATGTATGTGATTGACTGACATTTGAGCAGTCGTCACGCAACTAATATGCAGACCTTGAAGCATGTGTAGAAGATCATCATACCCAAGTCGTCTTTCAAGACGGTGGCATCTGCTTGGCAGCCCGCGTTATCAATTTGCCAAGCTTATGACCAATTCCGACCCCACACTGAATCTAGTAGATCGTCGTTTAGACAAGCCGTTCCCCACGTTCCTATCAATCCAGAACATTGGGCGCGGATTGATATGGGTTCGCATGACCCACTCGGAGCCGCGTACCACATGTGCATGTAGCAACGCCCAACCTCTCCATCCATCTTCCGGGTTTATCATCTCTCTGGTTTAACATTGATAGCTCCTGTGCACCTACGCGCAATACAGCAAACTCCAAATCGAGGCTATAAGCCAATACTGTGAGCATCTGATCACGATGGCGTACGGACGCGGCGGTGCAGGCAATTACTACGCGGCGCAGGAGCAAAGTAAGAAGGTTGCCGAGGTGAGTCAACGATTACGGTGCATTCTCTATACTCCAGGTTCCCAAGTATGCTGAATGTGAATACAGGACGTCGAAGCCAACCGCTCTTCCACCACTGCCGCTGCGCAACCTTCACGCGACCCTCCACAAGTGCAGCCCTCCAACGCGTCGCAAGACTACGCACACATGGGTCGTGGTGGTGCCGGCAACTGGTACCAGCCCACTGAGCTCCAGAAAGAGGGCACCTTTACTCAGGCTGCTGACGCAACTGCTATTCCCACATCATCGAAGCCACAAGTTAGCACGCCGTGGCATCCAGAAGGCCAGGAACTTCCTGTTGCGAGAAGTGGGAGAGGTGGTGCTGGTAACTTTGTATGGAAAAGTGAGGAACAAACGAAGCGACAGGTCCAAGATGAAGAAAAGAGAATTGAGGGGCTGAGGAACGAAGTGGAGAGAAGTGTTGAGGCTGGCTTGGCGAAACCGCCTGGCGCACTGCTTGGGAAGGAAACGCAGAAGGGCTGGTGAGCCGTGGACTAGTATCCGGTAGAACATGCGCGAAGTCAGTGCAGGGTGATTTTGACATTAACGTGGAAAACATTCCATCGCGAAACATTGAAGCTCTGTCTTGTGCGCTGCGCGCCAGTTGTGCCTCACTGCAGCACGTCAACCTAGGAGCCGTGGAGAAACCTGAACATCCTAGAGCCTACATTAAGGCTAGCTTACCCACTTCTCATGTTTATATCTTAATGTAGTCTGCAGTCTCCCACGTGCCCTCACATCTCGTGGTTCCTCATGACGTCGTTTCCTGTTCGGGACGTTAAGGCCCGTGCGCTTTGTTTATCCATGCTCTAGCCGATATCTTCCCCGTCCCTCCCCACCCACAGGCCAGTCCCAATCTCCGCTCCCTTCGTGTTGCAACCTAGTAGCTGATCCTTCTTGAACATTTCTTGACAAGATGGCGCGTCGATCAGCTCGTCTGCTCAAGGTACGCGCACATTGCTTTTCTACCGTTTGTTTACATTTACTGATGCGTCTGTTGTAGCGCGAGACTACGCCCTCCGAAGATAGTTGGCACACTGCCTCGTCGCCCAACTTGGGCCTTCCAGACCTTCCAGAATTGCCAGAGCCTGGTATGGCGCGGAAGACGCCCTCGAACGCCTCTGCAGGTCCCAAGGCCCAGTCCAAGTTACCGCAAGCGGCCGCGACACCCACACCTCATAAGAGCAAATCAACCAAGTCGCTCATTGATGACGCCAAGAGCCAAACACCCAAAGACCGCACTCCGATCAAGCCGGCAGGACAGGAGATGCATCCAGCGCATCACCACGCGAGCACAGCCAAGATCCTAGATGAGGCGCGCTGGCTCGGTTTTCAGTCACTGGGTACCGCGCCGTCCAAAGCGACCGGCCTGGCGGGTCAGGCAACACCCTCGAAGACTCCTGTAGCTGCCGCTTCGATGGCCAATGTTGGGTCATCGCCTGACTTCCGCTTCCGCTTCAAGTCGCCTTTCTCGAAACAAGACGATGCCACGCTGAGTCCAAGCTCGCGCAACATCCTGAAAGACGCTGGGATCGCAGGCACTCCGGGTGGTGGTAGCCGTGCTCTGTTCGGTACGTTGAAGTGATAGTCAACTCAACCTGTTTTGCTTTTTCTAATCGTTATTTTCATATAGGCACGAGCGAGTGGTCCTCCAAGGTCGACGTGTCTCCCCAGCGCAAGATGGCCGAAGCCAAGGGCAAGATGGCTCGCTTCAGCGACGTACATATGAAGCAGTTCAAGAACATGGACTCCATCGCGAACCACGCGTCAGCTTTCCGCGCCGACCCGACACGATTCAAGCCCGTCGTAGGCCAGTCGCTCAAGAAGTCGCCCTCGAAACCAGAGCTCGCGAACACGGAGACGAACAAGCTCAAGCGTACACAGTCGAAAGCAGATCTGGCGGAGCCGAGCTCGAGTGCCGCTGGAGGTCTAAAGCGCACACAGTCGAAGATGGACCTCCCAGGATCTGGAAGCAAGATTCCCCCAACCCCGTTGAAGCGCACTCAATCCAAGATGGATCTCACCGGATCTGCTCTGCCACGCTCCCAGCCACCAGCTCGCATGGCTCCTCCTACACGCGATGGACGACCGGCCTCCCGCGACGGCGACGGCGACCGTAACCCGGCAGCTAAGCGTGTCAAGCGCACCGAATCTGACGATGCTGCCACCACTCGCCCTGCGTCTCGCGAAAAGGCGCCCGATGTCCCAGCCCGCGCAGCTGCTACTCCGGCCCGCAAGAAGACTTCTCAGACTGCACTTCCTCGTCTAGCTGCGCGATTGATGACGCCTACAAAGTCGTCTATGGCCCGTTCACAGAGCGTCAAGACTCTGAAGACGACATCGATGATTCCAACTCTAGGAAAGTCGCCCTCCACGAACAATCTGGGAGCTTCGCCATCTGTCAATCGTAGCTTCGAGTCGTCCTCTGCCCGTAATACCTTCTCTCCTCCTAGCAACATTGGCCATCTGCAGACTTTGAGGGACAATGCACGCGAGAGCATGCGCAAGGTATGTCTATCTATGGGCGCTTTTCCAAGTATCTACTAACATCAGCAGGCAAGCAGCAACTTGCAGCGCGTCCGGTCAATTCTTCGCACGCCAAATCGCAAATTTTCGGACGATCCTAGCAAAATCGCGGCAGGCACTCACATGTCACCTCCGACCATGAGTCTCGACAAAGCACCGTCCCTGGTTCCTGCTACAGCTCCTGTGAAGAAGCAAGTCAACTTCAGCAGTAGTACTTTGGAGCGCGCGTCGCACGACGAGCTGGGCAAATCACCGTCCCCGATGAAGTTCAGGGCAGGCAGTGAAGTGCCTGCTGGTGCTGTGATCTATCCTACTCTCGGCTCAGGAGCACACACTGGCCCGGATCTTTCTCAGGAGATCGAAACTTTGACCGCTTCTCCATCTCGTCGCCTCACATTCGGTGGCGAAGCTCCTAATCATCCACGTTCCTTTTCCTTCGAGTCCGGCAACACTGTCAACTTTGGTGAGTCTACTTCTCGCCTCTCATTACTGACAACTCATTAACTTTTTCAGGCCCTGTATCGACTGGCACGATCCGCATGGTACGTCCGAGCGATGCATCTTCTCTTGTCGACGGCACCAAGCGCAAGCTGGAGACTCTCCAGGAGACATCCGACAAGGAGAATGATGGACCCAAAGACGACGACATGCGCTCCAACAAGAAGATGAAGCGGACACCTGCACCCGCCCCAAAGGCCCCTGCCAGCGCAAGCAAGCCAGCTCGCCACACCCCAGGACGTGCGGGTGCTATCAGCAAGTCAAGGCTCGCCTTCCTTGCTACGCCTAAACGAAGCAGGGCGTAAGCTTGTTTGTCTTGGTCGGAGAATGTGATGCTACTGAGGTGTGTTCGTCACAAGCTGTAGCGAACATGCATCATCCATGATTCAACGGGCATTTGTTCCCGGTTCACTCTTCAGTCATTTGCTGGCGTACTTGTCACGATGCTTGTGCATCGCCTCATGACTTACGATGCTTCCTTCTTGTCAAATCTTTGTTCTTTCTCACGTCATAATTGGCATCGGGGCGTAACGGTTCTCCAGGCATAACCCTCAAAATCTTTCCTTTTGTTTCTGGATCTTACGTGTCCGATGGACACTGATCATTACGAGAACGGTACACATGATCAAGCCTAGCTTGTGTATTATACTGAATCAACGATTGCATGACCACCAAATTTCCAAGAAGTGATGTGTGAGTTTTGTGCTGCGTCAGCAGGGACGGCAACAATTCGTGTCGCATTGTAAAGAAAATTTGAAGATTTCATCAAGCTAGAAGTATACGTTGTCTCAGAATCCATCTACTTGCTAAGATATAATAGTGTGTATGCAGCGAAGCCTAATGTTCAGTGACTATTCGTAGGTGGGAGACATGTGCAGTCAAGTGGGTCGATGCGGCACTGGGCGGTCGGACCTTCCGTACCAGTCGCTCATACTTTTGGCCGATCAACATTGATTCACACCGCCTACAGCCGCCCCCCACTACACAACCAAGGGCTTTTTCTGGCAGCTTACTACGTCATTCGCATACGCGGACTGCTTACGGCCTGCTACACTGGCAGGGCGAGTCTCACACCACCACCGTGGCGTCGCTAAGTAACCTGGTCGACGAATTGAAGAAATCCTTCAACTTCCGCGACTCTCGATCTCTACTAAGCTCCACGACGACTTCTTCGTCAGGCGACACTGAAAACCAACACACGAACGCGCTATCGAAACTGTTGCGCGCCCTACAGCACCGCAGCTTCCACGACGTCGCCGAGTTCCTCACGAACCCTCGCCTCGACGACCCTACCTACCTTACCACCCTTGCTATCGCACTAGCCTCTGTCATCGTCACCATGTCCTGGTTCTCGCGCACTGGCGGAAACTGGGGAGGACGCTTCTCGCCATTTGGCCGTCCAGGCAACTCGCCAAACGCCGGCGTCGTTAACGACTCTGACTTTTCCTACATCACCAACGAAGACCTCCGACGAAATGGTCAAGCGCAAGCGCCCGAAATCGTAGACTGGGATGACAAGAACCCAGAACGGGAAACAGACGTCCTCATCTTCAAGAACGGGCGCACACATTACCCTACACACTTCCCCGCGCACAGCATACGCGATGGAGACCTGAAGATTGGTACGGTCCGACAAGCGGCAGCAAAGAAGCTGGGCGTCGATGACCACAGGCGGATACGCATGTTCTACAAGGGCAGAAATCTGAAGCACGACGAGCGGACTGGACGGGAGGAAGGCCTCCGTGGTGACGGGACCGGTAGTGAGATTCTGGTCACGGTAGGCGAAACCCCAGTCGGTGGCCTAGCACCCGGATCAGAAGACGCACCACAACACGCATACAGCGAGGGAGAGGACGACGATGACGACGAAGATGACGTCGACTCTGGCGCGAATACCACAGGCAAGAAGAAGTCCCGCAAGCGCGGCGGCAGGAAGAGCAAGAAGAAGGGTCCTTTTTCGGCAAACGCCTCTGGCACCTCAACACCCGGCTACACAACTGGCGGGGCCGGCGCAGAATACCTCCCTATCCCCTCGCATATCAGCGCGGCACCGCGCCCGAGTCCCACTCCTCCCCCGGCCAAACCCGCCGAGCCCCAAACCCCGATCGGCAAACTCGATGCCATCGCCAGCAAGTTCCACACCGAATTCGTACCCATGTGCGTGCAATTCATGGCCAGCCCGCCAGAAGATAAGGCGAAGAGGACATTCGAATACAAGAAGCTGAGTGAGACTATCTTGACTCAGATCATCTTCAAGCTAGATGGTGTCGAGACGGAAGGTGATCCAGAAGCTAGGCTTAAGCGCAAGGCTCTCGTCAAGGAGGTCCAGGGCATGCTGACAAGGCTGGATGAGGCCGGAAAGGCTGGTTAAGCTGTGATCGCAGGCGAGGAAAAATAAGCTCAAGCATCATTACATGGTGCTGTGAGGCGGGGAACTAATTTCGTTAATGGAGGTTGCACGTGCATGCTCTCCTTGCTGTCGCTCTACTTTCTTCTCGGGTCTGCATTGGTGATAGTTATCAAGGAGCATCTAGCGAGCGATGCTGATGAGCGGCTAGCGATCGATTTGCGTATCAACATTAACGAAGCTTTTCGCCCTATTTTCTGCTTGTGTGAAGTGTCTGATGCCTGCATCATTGTTCCTTGCATCACTCCCCTGATCCCGTCTGCCTCTCTTTCACCACCTGCATCCTTTATCTCATGCTTTGTCAATGTTCCATTGTTTTCACGTCTCTCTGGCTCCTGCCTGCATTCGAAATGCCAAGGGCAAGCTATATTACCAAATGACTTTTCGTATGCATCTTGCACATGAGAAGCAAATCTCAATTTCGAATGCACTGGGATTTATATCGCTCGCTGGCAATTAACGACTCGCAAGACCACGCACCATGAGTACAGAAGCTAGCCACCAATCGCTACAAAGTCTCAACGAAGCGCTTGCCCGGAATGGTCACTCGCCTGTAGCACCCTCCCAACTATTGTCGTCAACGTCCATCGATGCTCTCGATATTATAAATACTCCTCGTTTCAAGGCAGCCTCTTACATTACTACCGGGGTTGATCGTGTCAGCAGCAGAGATACAGACAATCTTATCTCTCATGCCATCCCAATCGACAACTGCGCTCGAATTCTTGAAGCTGTTACCAACAATCGGACACTCCGCAAATCTGAGATCAGATCAAAGAAATATCCTCGCCGCTGGTCGGTTGATTGCTCGGCCTATTCCGGGGGAGGAGAACAGTCGTCAACCAAGAGTGATGGGCATCACGAAGCGCGCAAGTATGACAGTGTCTTCGGAGACACTAATGCGTTCAGGGAAGCAGAAGCCTTTAGTTGGGATACCTACACGAGTATTCAGCGGCTAGACGTCTTTGATCGCGACTACACTCTCTCCGCAAAGCCCAGTCATACTGTCCTCGAAACGGCAAACGCATCGATCGATGAATCTCAGTTCCCCCATTTTCTCACTCTCGGCCCTGACGACGGTTGGTTTCACGACAGCCACATAGACACATCTCTGGATATACTGGAGCGAGCTGCCAACTGCCAAAAACACGGAATCGCAATCTGTCGTATTAGTCAGGGATCCGAGCTCTACACCAGTATGAGGAAAGCGCAGGAACTTCAAGATCAGGAGGCAGTATGGTTCGATAGACTGCTGATTGAGAAATGCAGGGACAAAGACTTCATCTTGGTACCGATCAGCAACGCGTACGAAGACGTTTACGAGACAGGCATGGAACGTGAACGTCAGTATGAAGCGGCCAAGACGACGAACCTTAACACAGAATTTACGCTTCCTGAACAGACCGCAGGCAACCACTGGTCTCTTCTGCTCGTCGACTGTCGCTCTTCGACCATCAAAGGCCGCTACTTTGACTCCAGCTACCACGAATCCGCTGGCCTTTTACATCACTACGCAATGGAAGACTCGAACATTTGCAAGGCGGCCCTGATGATCTTGACTGGCGTACGAACAATGCTCAACCACGTCCAGCCGGGACGTTTCAACGAGGAAGAATTTGTGTTTGACATTGACACACACTGCCCTAACCAAGGCCATGAGAATGTCAGCGGCGAAGAAGACGGCCTGGGTGCGTGTGGCCCTTTTGTGTGGGAAATGAGTAAGGAAATCACGCAATACATTGCCGACTGTCGTGAAGACCCCAACTTTCCCGATGTTGGTCAAGTCGACCCTTGTTTACCAGACGGTTACCAGCGCCGTAGGAACTGGGACTCGGCGAAGACGCGTAGGGCGATATGGAATCTTGTGTTGAGAGAGCTGAGAACCCGGGAGTGGCTGAATCGTACTTCGGAATGGATGGATAGTGTGGGGGGAAAGGTCTCCACGCCGGGGGACGGTATGGCAGGTTGGAGATCTTGGCTGAGAGGAAAGGGATTGAGCGAGATGACCTTTTGGGATCCATGGGGGCTGGAGAGTGAGCTGAAGCCTCAATTTGGGCGGCCGGTTACAGTAGACTCATAAACTTATCACCTTTTCGATATCTCTCGAATATATAGTTCAAAGAGGGAAGGTACCAGCCCTGACTTGACTACTACTTGGTGATTTGGGAAGTTGAGAACAGCATGATGTGAACGTTGGAATCTTAATAATATGTCAAACTATGACGATTGCTTAGGATCTTGATCTTGAAGGCCATGCCGCGGATCCCAAAAATAATCCGCAGTTATCCTTTCCCTCCTGGCCGCCAGCCAATCTTTCCACCCGGGCTGCCCATCTGTTTCCCACCAGTCATCCGTACCGTTGAGCCAAACCCTCGACCTTCGTTCTAGTTCAAGCAGGTTCTTTATCCCTTTCCGCGTCGCCCCCGAATCCCAACACCAACGTTGCGCAAAGCCAGTGGGCAAGGTGATGTCAATGTCAACATGTCGGCCCAGACGGTGAGCGTCTTCATGACATTCGATGATATACTGTACCATATCTTTCGCGAAAGCCCATACAAAAGGCCCACAGGCGCCGCCGCCATCAGCGTAGCACCGGTTGTGGAGCTTTTGGTTTGGGCAGTGCATTTCTCGGTGGAGATTAGTGTCAAGCGTCTTTTGATCAATCTTGTAGTCTGGTCGCGTTTCCGCATAGATTCTGCTGAAACCACGGAGTAGTACCATAGCCGCTTCAAAATTAGTGGACGTACCATCAGAGTCGTAGTGTCGTGCATGGATAACCGGCTGGTGACAGTCGATGATCACCAAGGTCCAGTGTGTACCGAGCAAATGGCCGCTACGATCTCCAGCGTGTATCCTTTTCCAGCCATTACTCACGGGAATCATGACGAACTTGTTTGT